CTACGATTAAGGTAAGTTTATAAAAGCATATTTTCGCAAGACATAAATATACCAAAAGGGAAACCGATATGCTTAGAGTTAAAAAAATGGTAGTGAACGCTTTTTTCGAGGGATAGTGTGACTACCATTTCCAGGCAATTTGTCTTGCCCAAACATAGTGTATCCAAAATAAAATAAAATAATCGCGTTATAATGTAAGAGGACACGTAGAAAAAATGTCCAAAGCAGGAAGGCCTAGAAAAACTGCAATATGGATGGATAGGAGAATTAAAAGAATTTCTCAAAGAGAACCGTGGCTATCAGCACCAAGAATCATCAGTTGCTATTATTGCAATAATAGCCTTGTTCAGGACTGGTTTCAGGAGCCATGCCGCGTCGATGTCAAAAAGTGATAGCAAATAATGGTTATCCTATTAATTACTAAGTTAATACTTTCATAATACTGTTAAATTCGTTCTTGTTCTTAAGTAATTTTTTTTTTATAAAAGTTGCTTTACTTTTGTCGCATATAATGTAAGTAAAACACTTGAAAACCTAAATGATAACCGATGCCAATAAAAATATTTTTTTACAATTTACATATGATACCAAAGCACATAGAAATACATTTCGCCAGATAATAGAAGGAACTATAAAGACTATAAGATTTTTTTTAATATTTGCTTTACTTTTGTCCGATAGTGTATGTTTAGTTACCTGTTTTATATTTGATTTTGATTTTAATCAATTATAATTGTATGTTTACACAGCGAAGAACAAAGTTACTCCAAGAACCGCTGTGGAGGGCTCCCAAAAAGCTCAAAAGCTGGAGTTAGAGCGAGTAAATAAATATGCATCAAGGTGAAAATGTAAGGATAGCGTAAACCGTAAGTTGTTGATTCCAGAAACCAAATTTTATAGTGTGAAATAATGCAAAATTGCAAGAAATTGCAAATTAAACGAATTCTCTATCATCCATAACAATGGAAGAATAAGTGATTTAAACGGTTTGAAAACAGGTTGTAGGAGAGGTATACTTCTCGTCACGATATTTGAACTGTCGTAAATCTTAAGTCGGGTACCCGAATTACTCTTAACAATAGAGACATTTGGGTTGTTGTAAATAATCCAACAGTAAACACCA